CATGCAGTTGTGTGTGTGTTGTTTTAAATCAGAAGGAAGTAGTATATATCAGACTACATAGTAATATAGTTAGTGTCTAACAGTTCTTTCATTGATTCTTACAGGTGGCTTTCCTGGGGGAATGCCTGGTAATTTTCCTGGAGGAATTCCTGGAACCGGAGGGGGCATGCCTGGAATGGCAGGAATGCCTGGACTCAATGAAATTCTTAGTGATCCAGAGGTTCTTGCAGCCATGCAGGTAAGGCTTGAAAGAACAAAGTTGAACTTTGTATTAACAAGGCATTTCTTTCATAATCTTATGTGGAGACCAAGGTTACTTTGTTAGCAATGTTTTATTGATCTGAATTACCCAATAGTAATTATAAAGTTGTGACATTCACTTTTTTTTTTCAAGAGTAGCTTAAGTTTTTAAAAAGTAGTTTATAGGAAATACTCTGTAATTGTTGGTAATTATATCATTGTCCTTTGCATCAATATTATATATGCTTTTTCTCATTATAAAGTCTCATAATTGAGTTTTGACTTTGAAGTGCACATTAATAATATTTATACTTAAAGACTTATTCATACCCCAGTTAATTTGGCCATGACAAAATCATAGGTCTAGACAGAGATAGGATTTAGGATTATAAACTTAGTGGCCCATAGACACTTTTTTAAATATTAAAAAAACCCATCTTTCTTTGCAGGATCCAGAAGTTATGGTGGCCTTCCAGGATGTGGCCCAGAACCCAGCAAATATGTCAAAATATCAGAGCAACCCAAAGGTTATGAATCTCATCAGTAAATTGTCAGCCAAATTTGGAGGTCAAGCATAATGTCCTTCTGACAAATAAAGCCTTTGCTGAAGGAAAAGCAACCTAGATTGCCTAATGGATGTCGCAATAATACAAAACCAGTGTACCTCTGACCTTCTCATGAAGAAAGCTGGGGTGCTTTGAAGATAATCCTTACCCTTTGCCCCAAATGCAGCTGAAACATTTTACAGTAGTTTGCCATTAGGGTATTGATTCAGATAACGTTTTCCTACTAGGAATTATGAACTTTAAATAATTTCTAAACCTTAAAAATACATAAAACAAATTAAAAGGGTTTGTTAATCCCTGCATTTTTCTTTACTAATCATTTTGGTTTCTTCCTTTGAATTATTTGGGCAAGGAAGATACTTGAGTATGAAGGTTTATTGTTCCTTTTGAGTGAAATAAAGGTTTGTTAGTGGGAAGCAAATACAACATTTAAATAGTTAAGAGTTGGATATATGGTTACTGAGGCATTTTGATTTGTTTTTTTAAATGCTTTATTTTTTTTTTAATGATTTATTTCAATAAGTATTGGGACCATCAGTATTGCTGTAGCACCTGGGTAGGGACTGGAAGTACTTGGCAGGGCAGCATCAGTCTTAACTAGTTGCAATAACACATACCCTTGTGCAGATGCAGTTAAATCTCACCTTGTGGGGAAGGGATGATTTTTATAATGCTGCAGTAGAGTTGGATTACCTAGCTCTGTTCTTGTCTGATACATAAATGTTTCACGTTATTTCCACATGCAGGAAATAATAGAATACTTTTCTTTTTTCTTTTTTTTTTTTGTATTCTATGTTTAAAATTAACTTTCCTGGTCAGAAAATGCCCAATTCTTTGTCTGTTTCCTACTTGTTTTCATATTTTTTTCCCCTTACTCTCACTGTACTAAAGATAGTACATTTTCACTAGCATCATCACTGCTACCATTCACAGCCTCATTGTGCAAGGATATTTAATGCTGGGTTTATTTAATTTAATATGTAATAACATACAGTGACTGTGTAGGGCAATACCAATAACAGCTCTAGTTACTTGGCCAAGAGGTTTCATATTTGTTAAATTACCACTTCAGTGAAATCTTACCATATCAAAAGATGTTGGAAAGAGGGTTTGGTTTCCCTTTGGTGCTTGGTCTTTTACTTAAGAAATACCTATTGCAGCTAAGAGTTCATCTTTGTATTTCAGAGAGTATGAGGTTTGAATTCATTGATACACATAGAGGGGAAACTACCTACTTGATCCAGCATGAATTATAAAATTGAAGCAATGTATGGTTCTTCATTATGGGATTGTCAGCATTATGAAAGGTTGATAATATTCTTCCATTCAGCTCTTAAATACTGCAGCCATATCCCCATCTCTCCTTTGTCTCCTTCCCTCTCCTCCAAGGATAAAAAATAAATTTTCTGTTATATGTTCAGTTCTTCTATAAAGTAAAACTAAGTCCAGGCACTGTACCAGGAATTGCTAGGTTTCTACCTATCTTTCAATTTAAATTAACTATTGTTTAAAGGCAGTTTCAAGGGATTAAAACCCTCTGTACTTTGCTTATTTGAAGAATCAGTGGTAGGAACAGCGAAGTAAATTCCATAGAAAACATTTCTGAAATAGCACATTTCTGAAGTCAGAAGTTGATTTAGGTTCTAACCCTTTGCTATACACAGCAGATAAGAAATGCATCTGTTACATAAGTGAGATGATGTATGCTAATTGAGCATGCTTTTGAAGCCCTTTTAAAAATACTCAGCATATATAAACTTGCATTTGAGCTTGTTGGTGTTCTTTTTGTTACCGTGTATTCCTTCTCAGAATTTCCAGTGTGTGCTATGAATGACTGCAGAAGACCAATTGCTTCTGGATTTCTTTTTTGATTTACTTAACTATACATTACCTAAGTACATTCTAACATTGCAAATATTACCATAAATGGGAAAAAGTAAAATAGGTCTGAAAATGTGTCCTGTGCTTTTAGACTTTTAAATTTCAATTTCATTTCCATAGAAACTCGATGTCATTTCTAAACCAGAGATGTCTATTCTTGTGCTAGTAATGCTCTAAGAAGGAAAAGCAAAGGATTTTGTTTTCTGCTTAAAAATATAGTTAATTCAGTTCCTAGCTATATTAAAAATAAAGTATGGTTTCAAGCTGAATATTGATCCCCCCACCTTTTTTTAAAGCACATGTTCTATTTTGTCTCTAGTGCTCACTTTTACTGAATATAGTAGGCTTCAGATTTAAAAAGCTCTTAACAAGGATCCCTAAAAATACATTAACCTAAGTAAAACAAAACTTTTTCTTCAGGTAGCAGTCTAGAGGTAAGCCATTCTGCCATACCATACTGAGAAGGTAGCTAATCTGAGTCCAAAGGTAGTTGGCTCTCATGTTTATGTAGCATGAGGAAACAGGACATGGCACCAAGGAAGCATACACTGGGGTTAAAACATGGAATTAGCTTTTTATTTCTGCTTGTATCCTACTGGTCAGCTTTTTTTTTTGTCTTGAGACTGTATTTAGCTTCAAAGAAAGCTAGGAAATAATAGTCGTTGCTTGTGCAGTCATGTGCCCAACAGAAAAATTACTACAGAAGACATGGGAAAAAAGCCTGCGGTAACAACTAGAGTTCTGTCCGGATAGGAAATACTGGCTTAGTGGGATAAGAGAAACACATTACATTAGAGATATGCTAATACCTGAAATTACCCAATTAGGTGCACATATCAGATAAGTAGTACTTAACTCTGTGTAAGCACTTTGTAGTCAGTTTGCAAGGATTAACTTAAACACAACTTAACCAATGGCAATTTAGATATTTTCTGCAAATTTTGTGGAAGTATGACCAGGTAAACATTGTTAAGACCCTCTCCTGGGGAGTAAATGTGACAATGGGCATAAAGCACTGACCTTGATGTGTAGTAAGCACACATTTTTCACTAGTGTTATAAAAGTAAACTTGGTATTTAAACTGGCAGAGATATGTGATAACAGTGCCCTGGTAAAGTGAAGCTGGAAATCCTGAAACGTGTCTCAATATGACCTAATTGAGAGTGTGATCTAGATTGACTTGTTCTGTGGTTCTTCACAACACAGTAAAACATTTTTTTAGTATTTTGGAAAGTATGTACATAAATTTGCTTTTAGTAATCCTTACAAGTGGGATTGTTAGTATTAACACTCTTTGTAACAGGAAAACTGAATTATATCCCTGGGTTTAAAATTTAACATTGACTTGAACTAAAGTAACTAAAGCCTTGTAACTATTTAAAGGTGGCAGTTTCTTTTTGTTCTTCCTATATTCTGAGTCTTAGGGTCAGAGATAAAGCAGAAAGCTGATTTTGCAGAACCATGACATTCGGTCCCAGGGTGCTGGAGGAGCCTATATGAGAAAAACAAAAAGCAATTGAATGGGTGCAAGAATGTCTGCTTCAATCCTTCCAAGTTGCTACTTTGTGTGTCTGGTCACCAACACCACACCCTCTCTCCCATGATTTTTTAAAAGCCTTAACTGCTTGTGCTTCTTAAGGCATGAGCCTGCCTCTCCCTCATTTGCTGGCAAATAAACTATTCCTTTCTTCAAAACCCTGTATGCTTTGTGACAAGGACCAATTTTGGTTAAGTTCCACAAAGGAGGAAACCAAAAGGGGTTAAATGATTTCCCGTTTGCCGACCAGTATGTTACCTACCTGAAACTGATCATTCTAATCTGAAGTTCACGTTCTCTTTCAACCACACCCCACGTTGTTTCAGAGGAAAAAACATTGACCAGTCAACATTTATTTCCTCTTGGCCAAAGTGTGACTTTCAAAGTAAAAGCGAGAGGAAACAGGAGTTAAGTCAGAGAAACCGGGATATTTGAGACCCCCATCTCGTTTCTCACGACCTCGTCTTACGGAGAAAACGAGAATAAGGGGCCCAATCGGGCTTTCTGAAGTCCCCAGCGCCAGGGCAGTACGTGTACAGCCCGACGGACCAGGTCCCGGGAACGCAAAGGACCTTCCGTCTTCCTCAGCCAGGTGCTGGCTTCCGGCAGCCAGACGCTCCGCGTGGTTGGGCCCGCGCTGCGCTGCACTGCCCCGAGCGCTCCCCGAGGGCCAATCACAACCAAGAGGCGTTCAGGCCGCCCTTACCCTCTTCCCGTCATGCAGGCCTCGGTCGGGAGGCAGGCGCCCTGCGACCCGGAAGTGTTGGTTCGGAGAGGGCCGGCCTGAGGAGGTGGAGCTTATGACACTAAACGGCTGGAGCTCCGGCTCTTCTTTCCTCACTGAGTAGCCGGTGGCATCTGTGGAAAAGTCTGGCTGGGATTGCGGGGAACCGCACCAATGGCTTCCGTGCAGTCCTACGAAAGCCTGGTCCACGCCGTGGCCGGAGCCGTGGTGAGGCGGGGTCTTCACGTCCGGGCCACTGCGGGGTGCGCCCCGAGACAGGGCTCGGGGTGGGGATGAGAGGGAAATAGTGTGGGTTGGGGTCTCCTGTCGTGAGGGTGGGACAGAGAGGAATGGGGCATAGACGAGAAGTTGCTGGAAGGACTCCCAGCCGCCGGTTACCGCTCTGGTCTAGAGAATATCTGGGGTGCCGACAGCGGGGGTCCCACATACTCCCAGGGAGTCGGAAAAAAATTGCTGTTTTCTTTGCCTTCTGAAATTTGAAGGTCGGTCATCCCCCTACCTCACTCCCTTCGACATAAACTTTGACTCCCTGGGCCGGAGGAACACGTTAAGTGTGAAACTCTGTTGCGTCAGCACATATTGAACTATATAGCTTGTTTTCACCCACCTCCCGCAGCCAAGTAGCAGTAGGGTATCTATGGTCAGTAGTGGCAGGAGAAGATACTCTTTTTTCTCTTTCTTTTTAAATCGAGATCAGAGTTGCTGTCTAACACACAGGAGGTGTGGTTTACTGTGACGTATGTGCTTGATTTTTGGGCTTCTGAATGTCTCAGTTCCATTTTACACCTTTCCCTGTTCCTTGAAACTTTCCACTTTGCTTGGATAACTTCCTCTTCTAGTTGTCCTCTTAATCTCTCCAACTGGGCTTTCTCATATCCTTCAATCGCTGTCAATATTTCACCTTCAGTAGTAATCACTGTGACCTCAGAAATTCACTGAGTCTTCTCTTAGCCCCCCAAAATTTCACTGAGAGCTCATGTTCTGTGCAGACTAATAGGGGTTGAACCCTAACTCCATCATTTGTTAGATAGGTGGCCTGTAAACCTCACTTTACTAATCTGTAAAGTGGGGATATTGATACCTACCTTACAGACTTGTTCTTAGAAATTTGGTGACATGCTAGTCATGGAAGTGCCTGCTTCAAGAGTCTTAGTTCATTCAATTAAACTAGAAGAGCCTTTCAGGCAGTATAAAGGCCCTGAGGTGGAAGCTTGCTTGACATGCTCTAGGATGGGCCTAGAGGCCTATGTGTCTGGAGTGGAGGGAACAAAAAGGCAAATAGGTTTCATGAGACCAAATTGTGTGAGACTTTAGCTCAAGTGGAGAAGAACTAGCTAGCTATTGGGAGGTTTTGAGCATGCAGCAACTTGCTGATTGACCTTTTAAACATGATCTTCCTGGCTTTGCTGTTTAGAGTAGACTGTAAGGGATCAAAGGTGGAAGCAGGGAAACTGTCACAGGGCTATTATGTCATCTCAAACAAGAGATAATGGCTTGGACCAGGATGGTACAGTGGAAGGGGTAAGAAGTGTTCATTATCTTGAAATATATTTATGAGATAGAGCCACTGGGTTTAATGGTGGGTTGGATATAGGGTGTAACAGAATAAGGATTGATTAACTACCAAGCGTTTTTGGGTTGAGCAACTGGAAGGATGATGTTCCTTTTTACTGAAATGGTGAAGACTGTAGTGGAGCAGGTTTGGAAGGAAAGATGAGGAGTGAGTGAGTTTGAAATGCCTAACAGTAGTCTTGAGATTAGATGAGCTCACCAAGGAAATGAGTGTGGACTGAGAGAAAAGTGAAAGCCTGAGCCTTGGAGCACACCAGCATTAAGAGGCTGGGGAAATGCAGTAGCTCCAGCAGAGGAGACTAACGAAGCGCCCATACAGTAGGATATAAATGAAGAGAATGTGGTGTTCTGAACGTCTTAGGGAAAGGGGGTGTAGAACATCTGGGACAGATGATGCTTATGGAGCAAATAAGGTGAGGACTGAGAATTTACCAACATGTTTATTAGCATGATAAAGACAATGATTAATTGAAAAGACCCATTTTGGTAGAATGGTAGGGTAAATAGTTGGAGTGCATCAAAGAGAGAATGGAAAGATGGGAAATGTTTCTTCTTTCTCTCAATAAATGCCATTTATTCAGCATCTTTATTGGGTGTTTTCTGTGTACTATATATTGTTCTAGGTGCTAGAACTTTAGTGGAGAACAAAGTTTTTTTCCTCATCAAGTTGTCATTCTAACGAGGGAGTCAGACAATTGAATAAACAAAAATATAATAATTTTAGATAGCTTTAAGTGCTAAAAAAAATAAGGGTTGGCAAACTTTTTCTGTAGGAAGGCAGATGGTAAATGTTTTAGACTTTGTGTATGATCTCTCACCATAATATGTGAAAATCTGTCATTGATAATAAGTAAATGAGTGGTTGGAGCTGTGTTCCAGTAAAATTCTGTTTAAAAAACCAGGCAATAAATTGGATTTGGCCCTTGGGCCATAGTTTTCTGAGTCCTGCTACACGGAGTGACTGGGGATAGAGGTGATACATCTCTAGTTCACCTACAAAAACATGTGTTTCTCTTTTTGTTGTCTTTTTTTTTCTTGTTAAAGATCTGCTTGAATTTACGCACCCTGAATTTGCTATGGTTTTTCCTTCTCCCATAAGCTATGTTAGATTATCTAATAGATATTTATAAGAATAATTTTTTTCTCTTGCTTCACATCAGGGTGTTAACATTCCTAGCACATATCTGGGTGAGAAGTTGCATTGTGTTTCGTTATTTTTTTTTTAACTGTCTTGGTGAAGAATGGTTTTCAAACTTTTTTTGCAAATGTCTGTATTAAGGCTAAACTACACAACATAGGCCCTACTTTCTTCTGATTGCTACCAAAGGAAAACAAAATTCACTACAAAAATGTCACTACAGTTCATGAGAAAAATGGCACTGCTTTTAATGGTATAGTATTGTGATAAGTCATGTTTAATAAAATGTCCTGAGCATGATGTTCAGTCAAAGCTTTGAGGTGATCAAAGGGAATGGGCTTAGCACTGTTTATGAGTACTTGAGGGCCTGACTTAATGCAGGCAGCCTGGGTCAGAATCCGGCTGCAGCCCTTAGTAGCTGTGTGACTTTGTTACAGACTCCAAGGCTGCCTGGAGTTTGCTTCTCCCCAAAGGATCGCTGGATCATTGTTTAAGATGATGATTTACAATCTTTTTGAGTTGGCATGTTTCATGTTGGCTTATTCACTTCCATGTTCCACACCTTTTCACAACTGTGGTGTTATCCACACACACACATTTGAAAAATTAAAGTAAATAAATTAGTGTTTGGTGACACACCGGGGATAATTGCAGATAATCTAGAGTATTTGAAAACCAGAATTGTGTTGTTTCAGGAGGATGCTTTATCTCCAATTGATGAATAGTATATGATAAAATAAATAGCCTCACATGTAAATAATTTTCAAAATTTCAAATGTAATTAGATTTACAATTTTATATTTTCAGTTTTATTAGCTTTGAAAGGTAGATTTTACTTGTAGAAATGTGCATTTGTGATTAAGAGAGATTTTACTAGTCTACAGTTGACAAAATGAGATTGTTTGGAATTGCCTAGAGGGTTTAGACACTAATACAGACTTTGGAATTGTATTACCAATAACTAATTGGTAATTTTCAGGGGACTTTTTCCTCTATTGTCTATTTTTTAATTTTTTGCTTTTTAGCTACATAATTTTTATTTTAAAAGAATTAATTTCATTGAATAAATGTTAATTATTAAAACATCCAAATCCTACAGAAATATGAGTCTTCCTTTCTCCTCCCACTCTACCTATTGCCCTGTGACTCAGAGACCAGGCATACATCTCCATAGAACTGTATAAGAAGACTTATTGGAGCACTTTTCTCCAGTTGTATCAGTGGAGAAAATTAGGCCCAACTGCCTGACTCTGTAGCTCACACACTTAACATTACACTGGATTTTTTTACCGTATAAACTCAGTCTCTGCCTTTTAGAGATAGAAACCAAGTAGAGAGACTTGTTGATTCTTTATACAAGGCTTTCTGAATATAATGGTCAGTGAAAGAGTTGCGTCCTCAAGAAACTCAATTCTTAAGTGTGTAATTGAGGTGTGCACAGGCCCCTGGTGGTACCAAGGAAGAAATGGTGGACTGCACCTGTGAAGGTGATAGGAAGCCCCCAAGTTTGACATATTTAGACCCAGTCTTAAAGGTAGAGTGGGGAATTTGCCTGCCAAATAAAATAAGAGGGAAATAGGAGACTTTTAGATGGAACAGAAAGCATGTTCAAAGGCCCGAAGGTAAAACTCAACATTCAGAGAACTTCGAGTTCGTTTTGATATAACTGGTGTTAAAGATGGAAGGTAGGTAGAAAGATATGAAGTTGGAGAATCTCATACTATGCAAAGAAGTTTGAGTTAAAGTTTATCAGAGACAGTGTCAAAAATGTGGTTTTATCTTTCTTATTGTTTGTTTTCTCTGTGTTTTGTAAGCCAGAGAAACAGATTTTGGGTGATGTAACAAAAAGGAAGCTTACAGCAGGCCCTGTGGGAGCTTGTAAGATCAGTGGGTAAGTTGAAGACTTAGAATAGGAAAGAACTAACAGGCTCCAAAAAGGTTTCTGAAGCAGTCACTGGAGAGTGTCTGTTGGCTGTCATCTCTAAAGTCAGTTGACTCTGTTCCGCTACACGTTCTGCACAGAAGTCAAGGTCCTAAGAGTCTCTGTTAACCATGCTCATGACCATGTGCCTACCCTTTGTAACAGGTGCAGAAAGAAAGAGTCTGGCAAAAAGAACCGTTAGGGGCTCTTCAGCTGTTGTAGTGGAGGGTAGGCACCTGGATTTACCATCCTACTAAGATTGTATACAGTGGGGAAAGGTAAAGAAAATCAGTGGGCCCTTAGGGCAAGAGACTGATGCCCTGTGGCCCAAAATATCAAATATCCACTGTATCCTATCATTTAAAAGACTTCTTAAGACTTTCTTTTCTCCAAATGAAAGCTGATAAAACTGTTAACATAAGACAAGTAGACGTTACAGTCATATCAAGAGATCAAGAGGGTGGCATCGAAGAGAAAAATACTTACTATACCAGGAAAATAAAGCAATTTTAAGTTTATGTTCATCTAATAACAATCTCAGAGTGTTTAAAGGAAAAATTAACAAAATTTCAAGAA